TCCCGGTTCCCGCATGCCGACGCCCTGGACGGCTCCCGGGGGACCCTCTGCAGGCCGAGAGGCCCCTCGGGATGGGGGCGTTGGAGGCCGCGCCGGGAAGCGGCCCCAGAACGGAGGCCAGGGCGGACACGGCCCCGCTCGGCTCCCGGGCGCCCCTCACGCAGGGACCCCAGTRGCKACATCTYGGAGTCCTGGAGCTCGGGAGGGACCTCAGGGATCATCCAGTGCAGCCCCTGCACACRCAGGGACACCCAGAGCACAGGCTGCTCCGGGCGGGACTGGGAGATCCCCAGGGAAGGAGCCTCCACAGCCTCCCTGCGCAGCCCAGTCCAGGGCTCTGGCACCCTCCCTGCGAGGACATTTTTCCCCAAGTTCCTGTGGAGCTCCCGTGTGTGGCCGTTTTCCCTGCTCCTGTCGGAGGCCACCCCTGGAAAGAGGCCGCCCCCTCCTCCTGGCTCCCGCTCGGGGGGGTTTGTGGACACGGAGCAGGGGGGAGCAGGGGCCTCCTCAGCCTCCTCTTCCTCAGGCCGGGCCGGCCCGGTGCTCCCGGCCTCTCCTCACGGGGCGGACGCTCCCGGCCCCCGGGCACCCTCGGAGCCGGGCGCTGGCCTCTCTCCGGCAGCTCCGCGTCCCTCTCGTCATTCCCGGGGAGCCCGCGGCTGGACGCGGCCTCCGCACGCGGCCTCCCCAGGGCTGCGCGGGGGGACAGTCCCCTCCCTCCTGATGGGGACCCGCTGCCCAGCGCCTCCAAGGGCTCCTCGGCAGCTTCCCGGCAGCAGGAATCCCGGGAAACAGGGATTTCATCCCTGACTCCATCCAACCAACCCCTCAGAGCGGTGCAGGGGTCTCGGCAGAGCCSAGCTCTGGAGCACTGCGATGGGGCKCCTTGGGAAGGCCCCAGGACCTGGTTGTGGGAATTCCCCTGGGATCCTCCTGCATCCCAGGAGAGCCCAGCAGGGCACCAGGCTGGACAGCAGATCCCAGGGGATTTGGGTTGTACTTACGGCTCTGTGCCTGSRTATCAGCCRGAGCCCTATGGAGCAGAGGAAGCAGATCTGTYCCRTGTGGAAGCTGCAGCTCTCGGCTACATCCCTGCAAATACCGAGCTGGGAGTCAGAGCGCATTGGGAAACGCGCACAGAGCAGCTGCGAGGCGGCTCCCAAGGCCTCGGGAACATCCCTGTTTCTGCAGGACTCTCTCTTGGCAGATGCGTGGGGGGACTGGGGCGCTGTTTCTGCTGGCCCGTGGGTGGATGGGCTCTGTCTGGGTGCGTTTGCTGTGGATGGGGGTCTGGGCGCGTCAGTGGGTGCTTGGAGATTTTCTTCTGCACCTTTGTGAGTGGATGGAGATTTCTTCCATAGCGCTGAGGGAGGCTGGACTTTTTTCCCTGCAGCTTCGTGGGTGGATGGTGATGTTTTTCCTATAGGTTTGCGGGTGCTTGGGGTCTCTCCTTTACTTCTCTGAACGGCTGGGGTCTTTTTTCTGTACATCGGTGGATGKTCAGTGATTTTGGGTTTCTCTTTCTGTAGATTTGTTGGTGGGTGTGGTTTTTTTTCTGTAGGTTTGAAGGTCTTTGGAGTCTTATTTCTGTGCATTTGTGGGTGGTTGGCATCTGTCTTGCAGCTCCCTGGATGTTGGGCATCTTTCTCCCTAAATATATGTGGGGAGATGGGGGTACCTGGGTTAGTGAGAGGCTGGGATCTTTTTCTGTAGGTCTCTTGTTGGGATTTTCTTGGCTTAGTTCTTCAAAATGGAGATGTGAGGAGGAAGCAATTTTCAAAGCTGCTGCACMGGCTCCGTTCCCTTTCAGGACAGACCGCTCTTCAGGACTTTTTTTTCCATAATGAGTTCCAGAACAATTCTGAAACCATTCCAGCACTATTTAAGAAAGGAGTCCCACTCAACTCCGCATAGTTACAGAGTACAGAAACACCTGGTTTAAAATGCAAACACGGCCATAAAACAACTCTGAGCACCTTACCAAGATCTGCTGGGCATCCCATCCGGAGAGAGCTTCTCCCTGGGACACAAACGGGAGCAGCGGTGGCTCCGGCTGCCGGGCTGTGCAGCACGCCCGGAATCTGCACTGGCTCTGCTCATGGTATGGAAAATATTGTTAGCATATAGTGAAAAATGGTGTTTTCTTTTTCCCCCCCACCATGTTCAGAGCTAGATCTAAACAGTCTTTCCAGGATGGCCTCGAGTTCCTTCTGCCAAAACTGGAATTCTGTTGTCTGGCAGGATTGGCAGGATTATCTGTGCGCAGGTCAGACTTGAATCCTACACTCCATTTTCCCTGTCAATTCCCAATTGTTTTTTGTCTTCACTTTTCCGGTTTACATAGGCTCATTATAGAGGCTCATTTCCCTTCCAGGACTGACTGCATTTCAGGGAATTTCTTTTTTAATAATTACCTGCAAAACAATTCTGACAGAATTTCACATCTATGTCATGTAAGAAAGGATTCCTGCTCAACTCTGCATGTGTAAAAGATGCAGGAAYTGGCTGGGGTCATTTTTTCTTTCTTCTGTACATTTGCACCTTTCTCTTGTGGTTTTTCTGTAACTTTGTGGCTAGAAAGGCATTTTCTCCCCATTTTTGTGGTGTTTGGTAGGCCTCGGGTGGTTGCGTGATGGATATAAAATAAAGAAACTGGTTGGGATCTGTATTCCTTTGTTCTGTTTGCTTTTTTTCTTCTTTTTGTAATTTTGTGGCTAGAAAGGGATTTTTTTCCCTAGTTTTGTTACGGTAGGCATTTTTWATTTATTTACCAGGCTTCATGTGGTTAGGTGTTTATTTCCCACAGGATTTCGGAAGGATGACAAATTTCTCCTGTAGGTTTGGGGGTCACTGGGCATTTTGCCCTCTACGATTGTGGATGGCAGGGGTCTTTTCCTTGCAGGTTTATGGGTGAATGTGGATTTTTTGCCAAGCAGAGCTGCAGGTGGATGGGGATTTTCATCCACAGGCTTGAGAGTGGTTGGGGCTTTCTTTTCTGTAGCTTTGTGGCTGCCTGGGGCCTTCTTCCTCTAAATTTTTCCAAATAGGATAAGGGGGGGAAGCAATTATCCAAGCTTCCAAGCAGTGTGAATTTTCCTTCAGGAGAGACTTTAGTTTTTCTTTTTTTTTTTTTTTT